GTGTGTTACTGTGTGTGTGTCTTACTGAGTGTTTGTGTGTGTTAGTGAGTCTGTTTGATGTCTGTTAGTGAGTGTGTGTTTGTCAATGAGAGTGTATGTTTTGTAAGTGAGTGTGTATGTATGTCTGTTGCTGACTGTATCTCTGTCAGTAAATGTGTGTGTCTGTTAGCTAGTGTGTATGCGTCTGTAAGTGAGAGGGTGTGTGTGTCTTCAGCACTTACCTTTCTCCAGCGCCGGACTCCCTTGGTGCTGAGGATCCCTCAGCCTCTCAGCTCCGAATGCGACCGCGCACGCATTCAAACCGCCCATAGGAAAGCATTACTCAATGCTTTCCTATGGATGTTCAGTGTGCTCCTCTAGCGGCTGTCAGTGAGACAGCCACTAGAGGCTGGATTAACCCTCAGTGAAACATAGCAGTTTCTCTGAAACTGCTATGTTTTCAGCTGCAGGGTTAAAACTAGAAGGACCTGACACCCAGACAACTTCATTGAGCTGATGTGATCTGGGTGTCTGTAGTGGTCCTTTAAAGGACCACTATAGTGCCAGGAAAACATACTCGTTTTCCTGGCACTATAGTGCCCTGAGGGTGCCCCCACTCTCAGGGACCCCCTCCCGCCCGGCTCTGGAAAGGGGTAAAAACTTACCTTTTTCCAGCGCTGGGCGGAGAGCTCTCCTCCTCCGATCCTCCTCTTCCTCCCCGTCGGCTGATGCGCACGCGCGGCAAGAGCTGTGCGCATTCAGCCGGTCACATAGGAAAGCATTCATAATGCTTTCCTATGGACGCTGGCGTGCTCTCACTGTGAAAATCACAGTGAGAAGCACGCAAGCGCCTCTAGCGGCTGTCAATGGGACAGCCACTAGAGGAAATAGGGGAAGGCTTAACCCATTCATAAACACAGCAGTTTCTCTGAAACTGCTATGTTTATGAAAAAATGGGTTAACCCTAGCTCGACCTGGCACCCAGACCACTTCATTAAGCTGAAGTGGTCTGGGTGCCTAGAGTGGTCCTTTAAGTGTGTGTGCATCTGCATGCACTGGCGTACATACCGCGGTCGCAGGGGTCGCAGCCCTGTAACCCCTGCGACCAGGTGCCCACCGCCATGTGTTGCGGCCCGGCCCGCGCGGGGGCCCACGGATCAATTTTCGCACCGGGGCCCCATGGGTCATGTGTACGCCACTGATTGCAGGGCACATTACTATGCACTTAACAGGCTATTCTTAAGCATGGGACGTATTGGCAGGGTAGGAAACCCCAGGATAACATGGATTTGATTTTGAACAGGTGTGTCTACAAGAGCAATGTAGTGGACAATGTATTATCGGCATTTGCCGTTAAGTTAAGATAAGCATGTCTATTTCAGGGTTGAGTAAAACAATATTTCTTTAATATGTCCCTGTATGTTTGTAGGGCACCATGTGGTGTAGATACTGCGAGTGTCCTTTGGCTGTTACGGTCATCTCTGTATGCTGCTTAGCCAATGCAATGGGAGGCTGCAGAGGTGTAAATGCTTTAGCTGGGTATGTAAGTCCTTCTGGGGTAGGGCACAGTTCTGCTGTGTTAGTTCCGGTGTCAGGCCCGTTCTCCTATTGCCATAGGTACCTGTAGTTGCGTTGCAGGTAGTTGGTGTTTTGTACACTGTATCTCCCCGTGTTGTGGGCAGGTTCTGGTGTCGTTATGGGGGCCTACCTCTCAGAGGTTGCTTAACGTGTCTTGGTTTCATGTGGGGTTTGGTTAGAGCCTGTATGTCCCTGCGGGCTGCCATCACCGCTTGTTTCAGTCTCTTACGAGCGGGCGGGAGAAGTCTCCGTCGATGGCGGTGGCGCCATCTTGTGGTTACCTTCAGGCGGGAGACAGCGCGGCTGTGGCTGGTACATGTGGGTCTCTCTCTGGGTAGGTTCGCTGGCATGTTGCCCTGCTGCTCTCTGTGTGCCAGTTTCGCCCAAAAGGCATCGAAGATGGCGTCCAGCCATGTCAGGATGTCGGTCCCCTCTCTGCCGCCATTGTGGTCACACATAGTGTCCGCCATTTTGTGCGCCTGTGTGGCTAGGAGTTGCTTGTGGGGCTCTGTTTTCTGCTTCTGCGTTTGCCAAGCTGTCTGGCAAGGTTGGACTGGGATCACCCCCACCGGTCCTGAGGGGGGGGAGCGGGCGATCAGTGGCTCAGCACCCCCGGCTTGGAGGTGAGGAGAGCGGCCACCCCCCTCCCCCCATCCCCGTCCACCGCAAGTCGCCATGGGCCACTTCAGGTTTGTGCTTGTGGGAAATGCTTGTGTCTGGTATCAGGCGATTCACCAGGGTGCCCCTAGCTTGGGTAGCATACCCCGGCATCTTTTTTGGCATCAAATCAGCTGGCATTTTCCCAAAATTCGCTTTGGCGCTGGGAGCTCCTCTGCCAAGTGACCGTTCAGTTTGCGAGTCAGGGCCCGCCCCCCTTGTGATTAAGTGGTAACTAAAAAGGGCTGGACATAGCTCATTTTAAATACCTTGGGTTGTCTACTTTTGCATATGGTATGCCATTATGGGGTAATTTTCAAAAGCTCTTTATTTGACCCTGTAACTTTTGAAAACTCCATAATGAGATGAGACATGCGCCGTGATACACACTATGAGGGATACTGTTATATTTGTGAGACATTGCGCAACACAAATTTGTGTATTTTATTGAAGTAAAAGCTAACAGTATTATGACAATCACAGTTAAAATTCCCAACTAAAAAAAATTCTCAATTTCTCACACTTTTAGAGATTTTATTCATATTAAATTCTGTTTCATATATAAATATTTGATGTGAAATAAAAGCTCTATTTCTCCTGAACAAAATGATAATTAATAAGTATTGGTGCACTTAATATAAAAGAGGTGAATTATTGTTGAACAGACATATAATTCCAAGTTTTATTTTTAACTTGTACAATTGCCTCCGTCCGTCCTTAAGGAGGTAAAAGCATACATAAACAGTAATTCAACAGGAAATAGCAGCAGGGCTAGTCACTCTGTTCTATTGGTAGTCCAGTGGGCGTTCTTTTCATCTTCAACTGTGGTAGATTTAAGTAATTTGCTTCCAGGGTATTTTCGTAATCCTTTTCGCGTGACCTCTGTCACTGTTTGCGTTCCAAGCAGCGCCTATTTACGTTCCAGCTATGCTTTGTAACGGTGGTCTCTATTTTTGCCTTATTGCTCCTTCCAAACGTTGCATTCCACCTCCTGGAGTGTTAATATTGGCTCCAAGAGGCTCAGTATAAGCAAGGGAATAATCAAAACAATAATATTATTATCCATATTTATTACAATAGGATCATATCATGCCTTAATCTTTATAAATCATATAGATCAATTCAAAGAGATAAGATGTCTCCAAATATCATTATTCTAGTGGGAAACATTCATAAGAATAGCATTAACACCTAGTGAATATATTTGCTACATTTTTTTTTTTTTAAATCAAGTAAGATTTTATTATAGGAAAACTGTAAAATTAAACATCAGTCAACCCATAAAACAAATGCTCCAAATTCCTACATCCCAGTTTACTCTAGGTGAATTATACTTAGTTTACAGTAAATTACTTTTAGAAATCCATAGGAACATTACAACCTTTAAAGCTTGCCTACTACAAAGGAAACCAGAAAAAAGAACACATTTTAGATCTCCATTTTATAATTCTTTATTTTTGTTGTGCATTGCAAGGTTTACAGATGTACATAGACATTGATCATGAGAGAGCATAACATTAACATATGTCTGTTTCACTGCACAGTTTGGGTTTTAATTAACAGGTTCAATAGGTGTCACAGTGGAGAGAGCTCATAAGTGTTGGCAAAGCAGGGTACGCACAGTGATTACCTGGCTCGCTTTAAGAATAGATATTAGTATACTTGGGCTCTTTAAATCATGTTGCTAATATTTAAGTACAATCATCGCTCATTCTAAGGGATTACGCTAGGGGTCTGCTGGGGACCAGAGACTGAATGCGCACTTATTTAAGTGTATAGATTACTGATGTGTATACGGGCGCTTTTATAGAAGAATAGCTTAGTTAAGGTACTCGCTTAGGTAATGTACCACCAGGCAGACTGTGGCTTACTGGGTTATTGACAGCGATAAGCAAGGTGTCGAAACCAACATGTACTGTAACCTCAACTGTTGGCAGCAGATAAGTCAGTTTAGTGGTTACTACAGCCAGGGTGTCTTCTGTTAAGGCTGTCGGTGATGAGTCCTGTGGTGTGCGCCTTAGTCGCCTTCCGTCATGCGGCAGCTGTCGGCTTCAGGAATGGCTCCAGTAGGGATCCCGCTTTCCGGCACAGGCACAGGCACCCCAGAGTCCTTTGAGTCCCGAGCACCCGCTGCAGGGCAAAGTGTCCATGCATCGCCGTGTTCCCACCACCCGGTCGGTAAGTGAGTACGGGTGTGGTGCTTTATTGGCTACAGTGTCCAGGTGCGGGTAGCGGAGTGATGGAGTTGTTGTGTGTGGATGATCTTTCCGGGTACTCACTCAGTGTTAGTCTGTGGTCTTAGTTATAGGGAGCTCCGGTGGGGTGTGCACAGTTGGGGTAGGCACACGCCTGCTGCTGGGGGGTTGCCATTGCAGAATAACTCCAGAGGCTGTCTTGACTCTCGCTGTGTGTTGTGAGGTTCAGCGCGCCATGCGAGGTTCTTCTCTGATGGCCTGTTAGCTAAATGCGTCGCTGTCGGCCATTTTGTTGGGTCCGCGTGGTAGCCTTTAGTTGTCGGCGTTGAGTCGCCCAGGGGCACTGCAGGTATTTATGTGCCTGGTGGGGACCGGGATAGTCCCCGCCGGTCCAGAGGGGGGGTGAACGGTGCCGGGGCGGCCACAATTGTGCTGTTCATTAGCCGGATCAGAGAGTGAGGCAGCGGCCGTCCGCCCCACTCCCCTCCCGGATAGGCCTCAGATTCCAAGCCCCGGAGCATCTCACCAGGACCCAGATTCACCCGAAATCAGGTGCTCCAGCTGCACCGGGACACTCCAGGACCCCGTACCATGAACTTCCAGGGTGATCCATGCTGAGTAAAGTGGGTATGTGCCCATTTTTAGTTGAATTCCTCAGGAGCCATGGTGTCTTGCAGCCTGCTTGCATGGCCGCCCGGCCCCGCCCCCCCTAGATCTCCATTTTACCCACTGTAATGCTTTTTTTTTTTTTTTTTAACCCTCAATTAAACACCAGCTGATGTTTACATGTGTCTACAGTTGCAGAATTAATCACCAATTGGAATAAGCCACTCTTGTTCCATCAACACCTTTTCTATTTTCATAAAGAGAAATATATAGTTTATTATTACCAGTATGGACATTTCAGAAAAAAAGACTCAGCCGTTACTTAACTTCAAATAATGCCTGGAAATGCACTTGTTAAATAGAATAATAGGAGAGAATCCTTCATATGCAGGATTTTCAAGAGGATAAGCATTCGATTCTAATGACATAGATTACACAGTCTATTCCTTCAAGGCTAGAAAATGCCCTTTCTATTGGTAAAATTAGTGTGCAATAACTATCCTCATCACCAGGGCCGTCTTTAATTTTGATTGGACTCTGGGCAAGCATTTACTTGGGCTCCCTGACTACATATAGATACACACAAATACACTACCTGACACACATGCAGATACACACTGACCGCATATAGATACACACAAGAACATACAAATACACACAGACTACATATAGACACACTGACACACATACAGACACACAGATACACAACCTGACACACATGCAGATATACAGATACAAACACTGACACATACAGATACACACTGACTATATACAGATACACACACAAACACAAACGGACAACATACAGATACAGAGACACATTCTGACAGACATACTGACACAGAGACACACACAGACAGCCATACTGAAACACACATACACTCAGACAAACAGAACCACACGGACACTGACAGACTCACACATAGACATACTGACACACTGACAGACATACAGACATTCTGGCACACATACACACAGACAGACATACTGAAACACACAGACACTGACAGACGTACACACATACAGACATTTTGACACTCACAGACAGCCATACTGAAACACACATACACACATACATACTGAACCACACAGACACTGACAGACTCACACACACAGACATACTGACACACTGACAGACATACTGGCACAAATACACTGACAGACATACTGGCACATATACACAGACAGACATACTAAAACACACCTACACACAGACACTGACAAACATATTGACAAACACAGACATACAGAACCACATGGACACTGACAGACATTCTGGAAAACATACACACAGACAGACATACTAAAACACACAGACACACAGATACACTGACAGACATACTGGCACACATACACTGACAGACATACTGGCACACTAACAGACATACACTGACAGACAGACATACACACATACATACTCACACACACACAGACACTCATGCAAAATTTGATAACCACCCTCCAGTTTCTTACCTTTTACTGGAGGGTGGCTTCCCTGGGGTCCAGTGGGCTGGCTTAGGTGGCCGGGAGTTAAGCTCTCCCCCCTCCGGAACAGCTGGTCCGCCTTCCTCCCTGCGCGGCTCCTGTTTCGGTGGGAGGAAGTGACGCACGGCTGTCACTTCCTCCCAGTGCTGCCGAAAAGCAAGGGCCCGGTCGCACTGTTAAAGCGCCACAGCGCCCGACCGGGCCTCTGCTGACATAGGCCCACCGGGTGGCCCTAAGTGCATGGGCCACACGATGGACTCCCATAGTTTGCAGGCAGAGGGCAAACGGAGCAGCTGTCTTGGGCCCCCCGAGCAGGGACAGGGCCCGGGGCAGCTGCCCCGTTTGCCCCGTGTTAAAGACGGCCCTGCTCATCACCAAACCTCAGATCTGTACACTGGTTTAACTGCTGCATTGCCACTTGGTTGTCAGATTATCTAAATATTGGCTATATATAGATATAAAAGTACAAACTTCCAGCTGTGAAATGATTCCATTTGCAAAACAAGGTCATGTAAAAAACAAACATTTGCATCGAATTCTGGAAGTAATTTCCTGCAGACTTCATATTGGGGTGCAGATTAACAAAATAATGTGCCAACCACCCTTATTAGGGAAGGATTTATAGAATTATACCTAGCCCCAAAGAATTTTTTTTTTTTTTATTCCTGCCGCAACATTCTTTCTTTTATTGAAGCATAAGAAATGGGGTACAAAGTAAAGAGAGGGAAACGTATAAATGGTTAGCAATATAGGGGTAGTACATCGTTGGCTTTGAGAAATTACATTTCCTGTAAAGTGATGCCTCATTTTTTATTTATTTTTTGTCATGTCGTATAACAAAGACATATAATAACCAGGAGTATTGCCTGTCTAGACAGATTTTTAAAGGAGTAACAGTAGACCATGCATTATCGTAGACATGCATTTGGTAGATAAAGTGTGAGTCAGGTTAAAGTCGTATCAAATACTTATGTTCGTTGCTAATAGAGTGTATATATCAGCATTAGTGATATGCATTCTCAATGAGTACATGCATACAGAGTATGAGCGTTGCCTTTAAGCTAATAACATGCTTAATAACAAAGGCTAAACGTGAGTGTTTAACTGAGATAACAAACAGTTATTAAAACTTTGCTACGTAAAATGTGATGAGACTAAGGCATGTTGTGACATTTGCAGGTCAGGCACATTTTTGGTAAAGGTAGCATTTCTACAGTTTAGATTTCTCGTTTTATCCGTGTATCATATATTTTCAGATTAGTGACAGTGTGGATCATGTAGGTTCCCAGTAAACCGTGCAGTGTATTGTATTAGGTATTTGTGTGAGGCTTCTATGTGGGTTCGCAGGCCCCTGACATCTGAGGACTCGCAGGTCCCTTCTCGTATACTGGTATTCTCTTGTCGTCTGGAGGCCTCTTGTTACGTATTTTGGTTCAACGTTAGGTTATCACAGATAGACCTGTCTAGCACCGTGGCACTCAGGCCTTCAGGGATGGATGGGACAAGTGGAGTTAGATCCTAGTGTGTGGTGGCCTCGCATGTCCAGTCTAGTTGTGTGGTTTCCTCCACCCCCGGTATCAAGTGTCGCTGCCCTAAGTGAGGAAGGTGACAGAGGTGTCTGTGTGTGTGGTGTGAGTGTGTAGAGCGTCCCTCATTATGTATTTTGTCGTGGAATGTTGCGGTCTGTGCGTGTATCTATATTAGAGGTCAGGGGTTGGCTGTTGTGTAGTTTTATTTTTATTTTTGTTGTGTGTTACGCGGTTCGTTGTGACCTTATTCTGGGGCTGTGGGCCAGTTCTGCGTGTGGGGCCTATGCGTCGTCCGGTTTGTAGACTACAGTTGCTTAGGTTGTAAGGTGTGTGTGCCCCGTTTTCCGGTCTCTTGATGTTCAGTCGTTTCCAGGGAGTCATTATTGGGGTCAGTTATGTAAGTCTGGGCTCCTTATTAGGTCTGTTTGTGTTCGTTTCGTTGTTCGTCTGGTGATATTTGCTACATTTTTAACAGAGTACCAACTTCTCAAGTAAAATGGCGCCATCAATTATCAAACTATAATCTAATTTATTAATCATCACAATTTGTTCAAATGAATACAATGTGAAAGCTGTACATGAAATATATATTTTGTTTGGTGTGTTATACTTCATGATGGTTCAAATGACTCATAACTACCTAAAAAAAAAAAAAAGTTAAAAAATAATTTCATGGTGTGTATATGTATATGTGTGTGTGTGTATATGTATATATATACACATATATATATATATATATATACACACAATTTGTTGGAGTTTTGCACTCCTGCTTTCCTCCTGGTTAAATGCCCGGTGCTCAGCAGCACAAAAATACAAATTAAGCCAGCACTCAAGGACTTGTAGAAAACGTAGCTCACCTTGCTTGACTCAAAGGACTTGATGCACTACTACTTGGACACTAATGAGACCTTCTATATTTCGACTAGAGTTTTGTAGCTCCTCAAGGGGGTCTACGAGGAGTGTTTTCCTCTTGGGACATGGTCTACACAGAGGTTGTGAGCTTACCCCAATGTAGACTTACTTTAAAGGGAATCAGTTATAACTTAACTCACTTTCTAAACCAGCTCTGCAATGTTGTCACAGAGGTGGGTGTTAACACCCACCTCCACTCCACCCCACCTGTGCTCTGCTTAGTCACTTCTTTGGTTTGTTCTACTTGGAGATATTTCCGGAACTGTGCAAAATCTCCTCTGCGACACCGACACAATATGCTGAAGTCTGAACGGAATGACGTCAGTCCCCACTTCTAGCCAGATCTAGAAGTGGGGACTCTACATAATAAAATGGGGGGGAACCTAATGCCACATGGAAAAAAGTTTGAATGCTCTGACAGCCAAATCCCAAGAGTAGGCTTGCTGTTATTGCGCAGCATGGGAAAATTTTCAACACGATGTTAATGCTGACAAAGCATGGGAAAGACTTTATAAGGGTTTTCCCCGCTATGAGAGGTCAATCTGCAACGCGCAATCGCAGGGCGAAGATGGATTACCTTTAGTTCGTTGCTGTTTTAATATTTCCATCTTTGTTTTCAATTCAATATTTTTGCTTCATTATTTATAATGGTGTTGGCTAGGGGATTATTTGGTGAACATAATCACCATGGCATGTCCACCACCCACTAACGGGTGGGGAACACCATGTACCCCCATTTATAACTGCCCTGTTGTTTAGTGAATGACCCCATTAGTCATAGAAGTTTCTTTAAAGTTATCCTCATTTTGAGAAACTACTGGAAATTTGCTAGCTGATCACTTACCAAGGAATAACTGACAATAAAATTTAAATTTTATATATAAATATAAAACAGCATTGTGTGGTTTTGTTTTGGTATGCAGTATGTAGTTTCAGGACTATGTGTGAAAATGTATACTCCTGACAGTATAGTTTTATAATAGCCATTTAGGCCTCTGGCTTTCCTTACCCCTTGTTAAAAAGATGATTATGCACCTTCTTACCAGAGCCGCGCGGGTCTCCTCACATTGGGCCTCACTCTTGCTGTGCCTCTTTGGCTGAGATCATCACATTTGATGAACTCAGCCAATCACAATGCTTTCCATACGAAAGCATTGGAAGGCCATAGGAAAGCATTGGAAGGCTATTACACGTGCGTGGATCAATCAGCCTCTTTTAAAAGAAATGCATCTCTATGAGGAGCATTCATCTTCTCCATACAGAGCGTGGAGACACTGCATATTGTGGCCATCTGAGTGACTGCCACTAGAGGTGTTCCTAGGCAGTAATGAAAACACTGCCTTTTCTCTGAAAAGCCTGTAGTTGTTCTGGTGACTATAGTGTCCTTTTAATTACTGTATTATATCTATACTATATAATAAAAAATATAAAATTACAACAAAACAAATGTGCAAGACAAGAGTAAGAAAACAGTGATTAAAGATAAATCATTCAAACAAAACTAAGTATTATATATTATTATACATCATAACTCTGAATAAATAAGGTAGGTAAAATAAGACTTCAGTGGTAGTTTCCCTAGTCATAACAGAGATCACCTTTCACCCAGATCTGGGGCAGAAACATTAGACGTGGTTTCCTATTTTAGCCCTGAACCTTTAAGTCATGATGAAACTAGATATTTCTGTGACCTTGGAACATTGCAACGGACGTCAAGCAAGCAGCATTTGACCCTCAGTCTTTCCATGCTTCCTTAATTCAGAAACTAGGGAAACAAATTACTCTTTATAACCTATGAAAAGGTCTTCCTTTTAGATGGCATATATAGAAATGGAAAGCATTTAAACTTGTGTTCAGGACAGGATTTACATGTCAGGTGCCTGTAGACGCCCCTACTACAACACACACACACACACACACCCTTCCCCCCCCCCCCTTAATAAATTAAATTTAATAAATATGCTAACTGGACATTGCAGGCATAACAATATTTTAAAAATGTGTATGTATATTTATATATATATATATATTACATACACACACTGCTTAGAAAAATAGGGAACACAAAAATAACACATCCTAGATCTGAATTAATTAAATATTCTTCTGAAATACTTTGTTCTTTACATAGTTGAATGTGCTGACAACAAAATCACACAAAAATAAAAAAATGGAGATCTGGATTTGGAGTCACACTCAAAATTAAAGTGGAAAAACACACTACAGGCTGATCCAACTTTGATGTAATGTCCTTACAACAAGTCAGAATGAGGCTCAGTAGTGTGTGTGGCCTCCACGTGACTGTATGACCTCCCTACAACACCTGTGCATGCTCCTGATGAGGTGGCGGATGGTCTTCTGAGGGATCTCCTCCCAAACCTGGACTAAAGCATCTGACAACTCCTGGACAGTCTGTGGTGCAACGTGACGTTGGTTGATGGAGCGAGACATGATGTCCCAGATGTGCTCAATTGGATTCAGGTCTGGGGAACGGGCGGACCAGTCCATAGCATCAATGCCTTCGTCTTGCATGAACTGCTGACACACTCCAGCCACATGAGGTCTAGCATTGTCTTGCAATAGGAGGAACCCAGGGCCAACCGCACCAGCATATGGTCTCACAAGGGGTCTGAGGATCTCATCTCGTTACCTAATGGCAGTCAGGCTACCACTGGCGAGCACATGGAGGGCTGTGTGGCACCCCAAAGAAATGCCACCCCACACCATTACTGACCCACTGCCAAACCGGTCATGCTGGAGGATGTTGCATGCAGCAGAACGTTCTCCATGGCGTCTCCAGACTCTGTCATGTCTGTCACATGTGCTCAGTGTGAACCTGCTTTCATCTGTGAAGAGCACAGGGCGCCAGTGGCGAATTTGCCAGTCTTGGTGTTCTCTGGCAAATGCCAAACGTCCTGCACGGTGTTGGGCTGTAAGCACAACCCCCACCTGTGGACGTCGGGTCCTCATGGAGTCTGTTTCTGACCGTTTGAGCAGACACATGCACATTTGTGGCCTGCTGGAGGTCATTTTGCAGGGCTCTGGCAGTGCTCCTCCTGTTCCTCCTTGCACAAAGGCGGAGGTAGCGGTCCTGCTGCTGGGTTGTTGCCCTCCTACAGCCTCCTTCACGTCTACTGATGTACTGGCCTGTCTCCGGGTAGTGCCTCCATGCTCTGGACACT